GGCCCAGCCTTATCGCTGCCTTCACCTGATAGATCCAGTGCCTTCTCTCAGGGTTTGGAAGTATGCGCTTCCGCCGCCCAGATTGAGGGACAGACACTGCAATTATCTAGATCTGAGGAACTGGACGTTGTCAGTGTCGATGCAAGAGATTCTGAGGATTCGCCACCTCAGTCTCATGCATTTGAAGAGCTAGTTGAGGTTGTGATAAGAGCGGTTGAAAGACTGAGTATTGACTGGCCTGCAGATAAACAGGACGTTAGTTTCAAAAGTAAACTGGACGAATGCTTCCTACCATCACGGTCACAACCTGTGTGGTGAGAAACCGGTATCAGAGTGTATAGTGCACAAACATCCAATTATTCCTCTATATCTAACTATAAAGAGCACGGTTATGGGGAGATGCCAAAAGTGGAAGAGACGCTTGCAAGCTATCTTTCCCCCGCTGCGGCATCTTCCCTAAAGGCCCCGACATTACCCACTAAGCCAGTCAGTAGCACATCATCACTAGAGGGTAAAGCTTATTCAGCCGCTGGTCAGGCTGCAGTGTGCCTTCACACAATGTTGCTGCTGCAGGCCTACCAAGCTGAATTGTTAGGAGACATGGATGAGGGCGGGGAGTTGGTCCTGATGTAGTTTATGAACTACGTCGAGCCACAGATTTATCTCTAAGGGCCACCAAGGAGACGGCTAAATCCATTGGCCGCTCTATGGCAGCCCTGGTGGCCACTGAGAGGCATCTGTAGCTCAATCTGAGTAATATAAAAGAAAAGGACAAGAATTTTCTTATGGATGCGCCCCTGTCGCCTTCTGGCCTCTTTGGCGACGTTGTAAATTCAGTCGTCGAGAGGTTCCAGGAGGCAGCCAAGCAGGCGGCTGCTTTCCAAACTTCAAAAGCCAGCTCTTCATACCGTGCCACCCAGAAGCAGAGCGTTGCCTCCCGTGCTCCCCCACAGAAAGGAATCACCCGCAGTCCTCGAAGGGTAAGACAGATCTGAGGACCGTCATTATCTCTAAGAAGGCTGCGGGGAAGAGGTCCTGACCCCCGAGGGCTCAGGCCAATGAGGGCAGTCCCTCCCGAAGCGAAGCGGTCAACACCTCATTATACGGTGCCCATCTGCCACCTTGTGTGCTTCAGGGCGCAGCAGCCACCGGCGAGCACATATCTCAAGGACCACCCAGAAACGTGGTGGCCTTGGGATGCCCGTCCCCTCCGAGGAGGGCTCCAGAGCAGTCAGTTCGGTTGTTCCCTGCCGGTTCGCCGTTCGTAGGATGGGGGGCTGCGTCCCATTTTGGATCTTCGAGTGCTAAACGAGTCTGTCATGTAACTAAAGTTCAAAATGTTAAAACTGAGACAAATCGTGCCACAGATCAGATCCGAGGACTGGTTTGTCACTGTAGATCTCAAGGACGCGTACTTCCATATATCCATCCTTCCATATCACAGTTCGCTTTCGGGGGCAAAGCTTGCCAATATCGAGTTCTTCCGTTCGGCCTAGTACTATCAACCCCGCACTTTCATAAAATGTTTCATGACCATACATAATATTCAATCACAGATATACTGTATATCAGTGATATCTGTGATTGAATATTATGTATGGACATGATATGATATTACTTTTGCACAAGCAGATTTTAGAAAATGGTGATTTGCTATTTGCACAGCTCTTTGTGTAGCCTTAATGTTTTATTTACTTTTGTCTTTTAACTGTTTTAAACCTGTACCTCTGTTCTGTCTTGTTGTAATCTGTTTGTAGCAATCTCTTTATATCCAAAACAAATTTCTCCTCGGGGAGACAAATAAAGATACTTTGACTTTGGCGTAGATGCAGCTCTGGCGCCTATGTGCCTGCAGGGTATTCGCATCATGAACTACATCGACGATCGGTTGATTCTGGCTCATTCGCATCAGTTGGTCGGTTCGGCATTGAGATGTTGTTCTCGCCCACATGAACGAGTTGGGGTTACGGCTAAACGCCAAAAAGAGTGTGCTTTCTCCACTACAGAGGACCACTTTTCTAGGCGTGGTGTGGGACTCAATGTTAATGCAGGCACTCCTGTTACCGGCACACATAGAGTCTATCCTTTCAGCTGTTTAAAGAATAAAGCTAGGCCAGTCACTCACTGTCAAACAGTTTCAGAGGCTGTTGGGTCTGATTGCAGCAGCGTCCAACGTGATACCTTTTGGATTGTTGTACATGAGACCCCTGCAGTGGTGGCTGAGGACCAAAAGGTTTTCCTCCGAGGGGCAACCCCTTTCGCATGATCAAGGTTACGCGGCGATGCTTACGTGCCGTGGTTATGTGGAAGAAACCTTGATTCCTGTCCCAGGGTCCCGTGTTTGGAGCTTCATGTTGTCGCAAGATGCTGACGACAGATGCCTCTCTCACGGGCTGGGGAGGGATCCTAGAAGGATGCTCGACTCGGGGCCTGTGGAGGGACCACCATCTCTCATGGCACATTTCTTGCTCTATTTTTTATCTCTGTATTTCTTGCTCTAAAGAGTTTCCTCGCAGATCTCAGGGGCCATCATGTGCTTGTCCGCACAGACAACACATCGGTGGTCACCTATTTAAATCACCAGGGGGGTTTGCGCTCGCGTCCACTCTGCAAACTGGCGCACCAAATCCTCCTGTGGTCCCAGGAGAAACTGCTGTCACTCAGAGTGTCTTACATCCATGGGGCCCAGAATATAGGAGCAGACATCCTGTCGAGACATGGTCTGAGGCCCGGGGAATGGAGGCTCCACCCCGAGGTGGTGGAGCAGATATGGAGGGTGTTTGGCCAGGCACAAGTGGATCTGTTTGTGTCTCGAGAGACTTCTCACTGTACACTTTGGTTCTCCCTCACGTATCCAGCTCCTCTCGGACTGGATGCTATGTTACAAATGTGGCCGAGGCTACGTTTGTATGCATTTCCCCCGACCGCTCTGCTCCCGGGAGTTCTGGAAAGATTTCACCTACTTCTTACAGCCCTGCGGTGGCCATGCCGATTATGGTTCCCCGATCTAGTGTCTCTCCTCGATGGGCCTCCACTGGAGTTACCCGTCAGGAGGGACCTTCTGTCCGTTGGTATCTCGTTTCCTCCATGGTACTCTGAGGCTGAGGTCTGCAGCTCATACCAGGGTGCCGACATGGGATCTGGCCATTGTCCTTCAATGCCTTTCCCTGGCTCCCTTCAAGCCACTGAAGGAGGTTCCGGCTAAGTTCCTGACCCTAAAAGCTTTGTTCCTCCTCGCTATCACATCTCTTAAAAGGATAGGAGATTTGCAAGCACTGTCGATTGCACCCTCGTGCTTGGAATTTGCACCTGGCATGGTTAAAGCGTTTCTTCATCCTAGACCAGGTTATGTTCCAAAGGTCCCCACTAACGTGGCCAGATCGATCATGCTGCAGGCCTTTTGTCCTCCTCCATTCCAGAACTCAGACCGGGAAAAGAATAATCTGCTATGCCCAGTCAGGGTGCTTGATGCCTATGTCCACAGAGCTGCCCTGTGGTGTAAATCTGAAAAGTTGTTTGTATGTTTTGGGCCCCCTATCAAAGGGTCCCCTGCATCTAAGCAGAGAATGAGCAAGTGGGTGGTTGAGGCTATCTCACTTGCTTATGAATCGGTCGGACAGCCTTCACCTATGGCTGTCCGTTCCCATTCTACTAGGAGTATGACGGCCTCCAAGGCCCTTATAACAGGAGTTGCTCTCTCCAAGATGTTTGTGATGTGGCAGGTTGGTCCTCACCACACACATTTGTAAGGTTCTACTCTTTGAACTTGGACTCTACACCAGGATCCCAGGTGCTCTCGTCCTAGTGCTGCTCCTCGTGATTTCACACTGGACAGACACTTGTCGCTATGGTTGTGTTTGTATAGACGTTACCTTAGTGTCAATCGATGCAGCGCGAGTTCCCTTGAAAGGGAGCGCCTCGGTTGTGACTGTAATCTCGGTTCCCTGAAGAGTGAACGAGATGCTGTGTCACCTTGCCATATCTCCTACGTGCCTGTCAGCAACTACTTCAGACTTTTACGAAACTAGCACGGCTCTGTTTTGGGCAGGCTTTATAGTTTCCTGGTTCATGTCGTCACCGGCCTCTGACGTTCCGTCACACCATTGGACTGATTTTACATGTGCTTCAAGACGTCATCACGCGAAGCGTTCCCTTAGCGTCAATCGACACAGCGCCTTGTTCCCTCTTCAGGGTAACCGACTGTAACCGAGGCGTTATTATATCAATAATACATTAAAAACAGTAATATTGTAAAATATTATTACAATTTAAAAGAACTGTTTTCTATTTTAATATATGTTTAAATGTAATTTATTCCTGTGATCAAAGCTGAGTTTTCAGCATCATTCCTCAGTCTTCAGTGTCACATGATCCTTCAGAAATCATTCTAATATTCTGATCTGGTACTTTTTTTCATTATTATCAATTTTGAAAACAGTTGTGCTGCTAAATATTTTTGTGGAAACCAAGATACATTTTGTCAGTATTCTTTGATAAATGGAAATAAAAAAACAGCATTTATTTAAAATAGAAATCATTATGAATGTCTTCACTGAAACTTTTGATCAATTGAACGTGCCTGAATACAATTATTATAAACTTTATAATGTACTATATTTATAACTATATTTATAATGTAGATATCATTAAAGCCATTTCCAACTTTTACAACCTTCAATCACATGATTATCCAAAGATTTATATCCAGCACTTTGACAGAATTCTGTACAGATCTGTGTTTTGGCAGTGCATTGAAGTTGCTACAGCAGCTTTTACTTTATACGGTTGCCCTGCTCTGAAAGAGCTGCATGGATTTGCACATAGTAAAGCATCTGTTTTCTTTTACATGGGCACTGAATGACAGATCAGACGGAATGTGCTCCACACGCGCTGAGCAGCTGCAGACAAGACTCGACGCCATCTAGAATGCAGCTTCCTGATGATGTAACAGATGCAAAACAAAGCAAAAATTATGAGAAATCCTGGCTGAGCCGAGACTCAGACTGACCCTCTGGGGATTTTGTGAGTAGATTGCAAGATAACATGGCAAGAGTTTTGAGACAGTACGTCACAAGCATCTTCCCATTCCAATCATAAACGACAAACAAACCTTAAATCAAAACTAACAGGATTTTTTTTTTTTTTTTGAGGAGGCAACTAGGGAACCTCAGTTACGACTGAAATTGCATGGAAATACAACATGGGAGTGAGTAATTGATGATAGACTTTTCATTTTGGGCTGAGCTATCCCTGTATATTCCTGAACTATAAAGCACTGCTTTGTGAGTGCCCTTTTACAAAGTCTTGATTTAGTTTTCAGGGTCTACTAGAATCGATTTTCATGCTTGAATGTTCAAAAAACACATTATTTTTCACATATTTTACATCGGAATGCGTCCGAAAGCTTAGGCAGCTGACGTATTGCCTCGTGTTGCGTATTGCCTCTGCCCTATCATGCAGTGACTTTGCATACAGCATTTGGGCACAAAGATACCTCAAAAAAATGATTTTGGAAAGATTTCTGAAGCAGCATAACGATTTAATGATCTACAACAAACTAGAGAGAGCTTTGGTGATAACAAAGAAATATTTAACTTCTACAATACTAATTTATTGCTAGAAATGACATCAAAAGTGGAAAATGTTGATCAAAAATAGACATTTACACACAAACTTACCACTAACCGCAACTTTCAGATGCCATATTTATTTTTTGTCTTTTTACTTTTTGTAACAGACTGGAACGCACCGGATTGTAAGATATCAAAGGCAACGAGGAACACATCTATGCCTTCAAAAATCAATGAGATGAAGGTATTTCAGGAGAAAGGATGTGAAGCTAACATATGATTCGGACGTGCCTTTATGTCTTCCTTGGAATGCATCATCCGAAGGCAGCATTTTTAACTTTCGAACACATTGTAAGTAAGTCATTTTTATTTCCATAACACCTTTCTAGAGCAAACGTCACAAAGTGCATTACATCCAAAAAAAACAAGCAAACAGTCAGATAAAAGACAAAATAATAGAGAACAATTTAGACAAAAGCAAGTTTAAATGAGTTTTCAGCTGCTTTTTAAAAGTGTCCACAAAATCCAAAGATCTTAGATCCAAAGGAAGAGCATTCCAAAGTTTAGGAGTAACAACCTCAAAGGCACAGTCACCTTTAGTCTTTAATCTGGAACAAGGAACAGCTAACAAGACCTTTTTGGAGGATCTCAGATTCCTACTGGAGGAGTTATAAGGTTGCAACAACTCTTTTATATAAACAGGAGCTTGGCCCTGCAATGCTTTAAAAACAATCACAAGGATTTTTACATTGGTTCTGACTGGTAGCCAATGTAGGGAAATTAAAATTGGGGTTACATGTGATCTATTTGATGACTTAGTTAAAAGTTTAGTGGCAGCATTTAGAACCACTTGAAATCGTTTCAAGGATGAATTATAAGACAAGTAAAAAGAGAATTACAATAATCAAGGTGGGAGGAAATGAAAACATGTATGTTCATCTCCACTGTGGACACAACGTCTCAGGTTACTACTGTAACCATAGTTCCCTGAGAAAGGGAACGAGACGATGCGTCACTTGACGCTTTGGGAACGCCCCCAGCGTGCATGCGTCTGAGCATCAATGTCAACTAGTCCAATGGAAAGAATGAGCGTCACGGGCGGGTGACGTCATGACCAGGAAGGGATAAAGGCTCACCCGGTGAAACGCGGCATTAGCTTCAAAAAGTCGAAGCAAGCCGATCACAGGGAAGCAGGAAGTATGGCAGGGTGACGCATCGTCTCGTTCCCTTTCTCAGGGAACTATGGTTACAGTAGTAACCTGAGACGTTCCCTTTCGAGGGAACTCGCGATGCGTCACTTGACGCTTTGGGAACGAGAATACCCAAACCGCCAGAATTCCAAGTACCTGAGTGTCAGTCTGTTGGAACTAAGCACTAAGCACCTGAGAACCTGGGGCAGCATCCAGGTCCAAACTGTAAAACCTGACGAATGTGAGCGGTGAGGACCAGCCTGCCGCATCACAAACGTCTTGGAGGGAAACCCCAAATAACAAGGCTTTAGAGGCCGCCATACCCCTCGTTGAGTGAGCTCTGACCACCAAGGGACACGGATGGTCAGAGTACTCGTATGCAAGTGAAATAGCCTCGACTATCCACTTGCTAACCGTCTGTTTAGAAGCAGGAAGACCCTTCTTAGGTGATCCAAAGCAAATAAATAACTGGTCGGACTTCCTCATAGACGATGTCCGATGAACATAAGTATCCAGTGCTCGCACTGGACACAAGAGGTTCAGCCTTTCCTGGTCCGCAGATGTAAAAGGAGGAGGACAGAAAGCCTGCAGCACGATAGGCCTCGGAATCAAGGTCGGCACCTTAGGGACGTATCCCTGTTTTGGATATAAGAACGCCTTGACCATCCCCGGTGCAAATTCAAGGCAAGTGGGGGAAACCGAAAGGGCCTGAAGGTCTCCAACTCTCTTAAGGGACGAAATAGCTAGCAGAAAGATAGTCTTAAGGGTAAGAAATTTCTCTGAAACCGAATCTAAGGGCTCGAATGGAGCCCTAGACAGGCCTTCTAGTACTATTGCCAAATCCCAAGCTGGCACCCTAGTGCGAGTTGCAGGCCTCAGCCTCAATGTGCCACGAAGGAAACGTGTAATCAGGGGGTCTCGACCCAACGATGTACCCCCAACCAGGGCGTGGTAAGCCGCAATGGCCGCCACGTAAACCTTAAGTGTGGAAGGACATAAACCTGACGTAAAGCGCTCCTGCAAGAACTCGAGTACTGTGTTCACAGAACAGTTAACCGGATCCCACTGATGTCGGTGACACCATACAGAAAAAACTTTCCATTTCAGCGCATATAGTTTCCTAGTAGCTGGAGCTCTGGAGCTTAGGATGGTCTCAGCAGCCTCAGCTGAGAGACCACTCTCTATGAGTTGGGCCCCCTCAGAGGCCAAACCCACAGGTTCCAAATCTCTGGTCGAGGGTGAAATATTGTGCCCCCGGCCTGAGACAGAAGGTCTCTCCTGATCGGGATCTCCAAGGGAGGACCGTCTAAGAGATGGATCAGGTCCGCAAACCAGATCCGACTCGGCCAGCGTGGTGCTACAAGCAGTAGGCTTATTCCGTACTGGCGGACTCGTTCCAGAACTCCTGGGAGCAGAGCAACAGGGGGAAATGCGTACAGACGTAGCCTCGGCCACGTCTGCACCATAGCATCCAGCCCCAGGGGGGCTGGGTGAGTAAGGGAGAACCAAAGTGGACAGTGCGTCGTGTGCTGAGACGCAAACAGATCCACCTCTGCTTGGCCGTAAAACTCCCAAATTTTTTCCACCGCCTCGGGGTGGAGTCTCCAGTCCCCTGGCCTCAGCTCCTGCCTCGACAGGATGTCTGCCCCCACATTCTGGTCCCCAGGAATATACACTGCCCTCAGGGAGAGTACCTTCCCCAGAGACCACAGGAGGATCTGGTGCGCCAGTTTGCAGAGCGGACGCGACCGCAGACCCCCCTGACGGTTCAGATAAGAGACCACTGATGTGTTGTCTGTTCGTACAAGCACATGATGGCCCCTCAGGTCTGGGAGAAACTGTCTCAACGCATTGAAGACAGCCATCATCTCCAGGCAATTGATGTGCCACGAAAGATGATGACTTTTCCACAGACCCTGAACCGAGCGGCCTTCCATTACCGCTCCCCAGCCGGTGAGGGAAGCATCTGTCGAGATCGTAACTCGATGGCAGAGAGCTCCCAACACCGGACCCTGGGTTAAGAACCAGTGTTTTTTCCATATAACCAAGGCACGAAGGCATCGCCGCGTGATCTTGATCATACGAAGTGGGTTTCCCCTCGGGGAGAACCCCCTGGTCCTGAGCCACCACTGCAAAGGTCTCATGTACAGCAGGCCAAAAGGAATCACGTTGGACGCTGCCGCCAAGAGACCCAACAGTCTCTCGAACTGTTTCACAGTGCGTGACTGGCCTAGCTTTAGCTCTTTGGTGGCTGTCAGGATAGCAGCTACACGAACGGGCGATAGAGTGGCCCGCATCGTCACTGAATCCCATACCACACCAAGGAAAGTGGTTCTCTGTACTGGAGAAAGAACACTCTTCTTGGCGTTGAGCCTCAACCCCAACATCTGCATATGGGCGAGAACGACACCTCGGTGCCGAACCGCCAACTGCTCTGATTCCGCCAGAATCAGCCAGTCGTCGATGTAGTTCAGAATACGTATGCCCTGAAGCCTGAGAGGGGCTAGAGCTGCATCCACGCATTTCGTGAACGTGCGGGGTGATAAAGCTAGACCGAAAGGAAGAACCCGATATTGGTATTCTTTGCCCCCGAAAGAAAACCTTAGGAACTTCCTGTGCTGAGGGAGGATGGAGACATGGAAGTAGGCGTCCTTCAGATCTATCGTGACAAACCAGTCCTCGGATCTGATTTGAGTCACGATCTGTTTGAGTGTCAGCATCTTGAACTTGAGTTTCTGTACTGAACGATTCAACAGACGAAGATCTAAAATGGGACGCAACCCCCCATCCTTTTTTGGAACAATGAAATAACGGCTGTAAAAACCCGACTCTCTGTCGGGTGAGTACACCTGTTCTATAGCTTCCTTTGCTAACAGGGCCTTTACCTCTTGCTCCATTACCAGAGCCTGCTCGGGATGCACCACTGTGGGCAGCACCCCGTTGTAACGAGGAGGACGAGAACCAAACTGGATTCTGTATCCTTTCTCTACAATCTGCAGGACCCAATGAGAAATATTCGGCAGAAGCTTCCACGCTGCCAGAAAATTTACTAAGGGAACCAGCCTCTCGAGGCTGGTCTCTGGTGTTATCGAGACAGCCAATTCCGGAGCCTGAAACATAATGGCAGGAACTACCTGAACTGGCCGCTCTAAGGCCCCCCTCAGAGGGCGCGAAACCGATGCTGTGCCGCAGCATAGCATCAGCGACTCGCTGGAGACCGCTGCGCCCTGAAGCACCAAGGGTGGCAGGGTTGGCAGAACGGTCTCGTGAGGACCCCGAAATGGAACGGGCACCGTATAATGAGGTGTACACCGCTCCACTTCGGTCGGGGCTGTCCTCACAGGCCTGATGCATGAACATCAGGACCTTTTTTTTTTTTGAACCGAAGTCTTCTTCGCCTGAAGAACGGTCCTCAGATCCGGCTTCGACTTAGAAGACTTCGGTTGAGAG